CACGTTCCACTGGCCCTTTATGGGTACCCTCTTCCGATATTCGTTTTCGAAAACAGATAATCGTTTCGACATAAGGAATAGATATGTCTCACCCAGACGATTCATTTTGTGTCAGTACTCTCCTCCGACAGGCCGTTTTCGAGATATTTGATCTTACTCACATAAATGGATATATTTTTTCCAGACGTCACCAGCGCCCTTTCGAGTAGTGTCTTCCGACAATCCGCTCTTGAGATATGAGGAATTATTATCGATCACGATAACGGGTCGAGGACGACTGTGATTGGTAGAAATGAATTGGTTGAGATCTGTCATCAGAATATGACGGATAAAACCAAATCCCTTCCACAACTTTGATAAGGGGACAAGAAGCAAAACTTCCTTTCGTGTAAACCTTTCATTAGAATACCATGAAAGAGAAATCCAATCTCCCTCCGCCCATTGATCTCGAAAAGAGGGCGCGCAGGGAAGTTGTAGTTTGCGGAAACCAGTTCCTTTCGATGACAACTTTCATTTGGAATGTGTGTTTACCCCCCCCCCCCTCATTTAAAAAAGTAGGAATTTTGAAACAATTTTTTGAAAATCGGATAAGGCATATCCGAAAGCCTATTCAAAGCCGTGCCACCCATCTTTGTAACTCTTATGGTCGCCGAGAAAAAAAATTAAAAAAGAAATCCAAATTTCACCACTTCTTTGGGGGTAGCTCTCAAACGAAATATGTTGGACCATCGGTTTATTTGGAAAAAGTGCTCGACTTGATCGCCTCTATCACTCATTTTTTTTTTACATGCGGTCATGTAACAGGGTGTAGCACCCCTCCCTCGGATCATAACTCATTTACCATAAAAGATACCGAAAAAAGGCTTAGAGCAAAATTGTACACAATTACCGCCGGCATGCTTCTAAAATATTTTTGATCGCCAGGGGCGTGCTGTATTTCAGTGGCGTATCAAACTTGCATTTTTTTTAAATGGAACGCCCCATATTTTATTACTGATTTGGAGAGTAATTGGAAAGTACTTATTTTTTATGTATTTTTAACGATTTCGCTGTTAAAACCTTTTTTCGTCAAAATTTGACAGTTTCGAAATTGTTTTTGCGATTTGCGATATTTACAACAAGCATGTGTAGCCAAAATTAAAACAATATGAGGAAGTTCACATCGCGCAGTCTGCGCATGCGTAATGGACGGGCAATTGCGCACCCAATTTAATTGTAAAATACGCTAAACAACTGATTTTAACTTATAAAAATGCACAAAAATTATTTGAAAAGTATGCAGAAATTTAGGAAACAAAAAGGATTCATTCGTATCGGAAGAGAATTTTGCCTGGGTCAATAACTCTGTCAGTTATTTAAAACTATTTTGAACTGTATAAATTGTTGGATGTTTTTGGGAATTTGCAATTAGATTTTTGTTGAAAGTAATTTTGATATTCCTCAAGAAATCGACCTATGAGAATCATTTGTATATTTCATTCGAAATAGGCATTGCAAATGTTGTATTTCTTTAAACCAATATTTCAAATCTAACAGAGTGTAACGAAAAATGGAATTTGATCCCGTTGATTTTCGTTAATGTATAAAATCAACTAAAGTCATATGCGTATTTAATGCAATTCAATCAAACCTCAGTGTTAGATTTTGAATTTCAGATTTTTCAAGGAGACAAGAAACCACACAGTTTTATTACTGAGCTATCCGTAGAAACCATACAGATTGATAGTCACCTTGGAAATTTTATGCCAGTGTCGTAGTAGTCCAATTTTATTTTATGTCAGAAAGTAATTGTTGGATAATATGCAGTTTTCGAAATAAGTATACGAGGCCATCAAAAAAATTATCGGACCCATTTTAAAATGGACCACCTTGTATAATTTAATCTAAAAAGATAGCATAATTAATTGTCTTTTCAAAAATGTAACATTAGAAATGTTTGTGTATTTTTTAATTTTTTTAAAATCTTTTTTTAACCCTTTTTGAATCTTTTTTCAGCACCATTCCTGATGTGTGTTAGTCTTGGAAAGAGAATTTAATATCCTATCTTTCTAGATTAGAAATAGGGCGTTCCATTAAAAAAAACAGTTTATTCAAACATCATTGTAAAGAAACTTTTGTAATAATCATTTTTTGTGTCTCTTTTAATTAAATATGTGCATGACGCATATGTATATTACTTTTTTGATAGCATTACGGAGATACTGTAGAAGTGTCGAGAATAACAATTCGACAAATTCTAAAAAACCATAAAGTTGCGCCTAATTCGAAATAATATTCTGAGATATTTAGAAATACTTTAAAACTTCTAGCAAGGATATTAAAGTCTATTCAAAAATCGAGGGAAATTTAAAAAATCTGAACAATCCAAAATTAGAAGCATTGGAAAATAAGAACAAATATCGAAGTAGGTGCACACAAAGATGAAGAAACAAGTATAAAATATGAGAAAATTTGAAGAATTAGGTAGAGGAATTGACGTTCTTTAGAAAAATTCAGTAAAACCCAACAATTGGTCAAAAAAGCGGAAATAACTATAAAATGTAGCAAAAAAATTCACGCAACACAATTTGGGACAGAGTCAAAATAGTAAGATCAAAATTTGACAATATTCGCTCACTTAAAAGATAGGGGAGAAATTAAAAAAACTGTCAATTTCAGAATGACCCTATATTTTCTTAGTTAAAAGAAGTACAGAAAAAGTTTAATACAAAAGTTTCTTGATAATGAGTATAATATTGATCTGTCGTTTTCAAAACAAAATATACGTCACGTCAGCAAAATATACGTCACGTCAGCAAAAAATTAACTGACCTAACCTCATTTTTTTTAAATGGAACGCTATATTTTAATCTAAAAAGATAGCATATTAAATTCCCGTTTCAAAAATATAACACTAAAAAAATTCAATGTTGATTCAAAAAGATTTTAGTCTTTTTGAACTGCTTGTGTTTCTTTTAAATCATTTTTTAAATGGTTTTTGAATTTGTTAATTCTTTTTTGTATTACTACGTAGGTACGATAGCTTGTTGACCTGATCCCGTCTACTTATTTTTAATTTTCCCCCGTGTACTCTAGAAAAGTGTCACAAATCGCCTGTACAATTCGGCAAATTCTAAAAAAGCAATAAAACGTTGCGCCTAATTTGAAATAACATTCCGGGATACGTATATAGAAACACTTCTAAACTTCTAGCAAGGATCCACAAAGAAGAGAGTAAACAACTATAAATTGAGGTCCATTCAAAAATCTGAACAATCCAAATTTTCGGAAAGCTAAACATGTATAAAAATTAGAAGCATTGAAAAATAAAAAATTCAAGTAGGGGCACAAAAAGATGAAGAAACAAGCATAAAATATGGAAATATTTAGAGAATTAGGTACCGAAATTGAAATTCTTATAAATACGAGAATGTAGAAAAATTTAATAAAACCAAACAACGAGTCGAAAAAGAGAAAACAACTATACAATGTAGCAAAAATCTAGCCAAATTTAGAAAAATTCAGACCGATCCCAATAATTCCCGCAAAATTTTGGGAAACTAAATAAATAACCTTCTCATTAGCATACATTATGTCAAACGTAGATATACGTGTTTTTAGTGTTTTTATTCTTGAAGTCTTATTATCCATGAAAAAAAAACGAAAAATTAAAAACAAATTAAAAATTAAAGAAAAGCTTAAACCAAAAAGCGCTCTTCGCACGCTTTTTTTTTACTTTTGTTTATGTTTATTACTTACGCTTATTACTAATAATTCATTTATTGTTTAAAGACAGTAAACACAAAGCTTTTTATTCGATCGAAACGTAAGAATAAAAATTGCATTTTACAACTTATCTCGTAGGTATAGGATACCCTCTGATCCCTGCCGCCCTTATTAACGAGCTCCTAGCGAGTTTATAATTTTGCGGTGTCGGTCCGTCCGATAGCACGATAACTCATAAACGAATGAACCGATTACGATAAAATTTTGCAGGTGAATTCTTTATCAAATTTGTAGATCGGAGTTCGTGAATTGGCAATGTAGCCCAAAAAATAAAGTAGGCCCTTTTGACATCTCCGTTAGTTATGAACCGAATTGCATGAAATTCAATATGCGCATAGCTTTAGCCATATAAAACACAATTCCAAAAGTTGAGCCTAATCGATCAGCATTCACAGTGCCCTTTGCGCATCTCGACCATTTACAGACCGAATTGCAAACTTTCTTATTTATGAAGGTATTTAAATGAAATTTGATACATAGCCACTTGGAATAAAAGCAAATTTAACGCCAGTTTCAAAATTTCGTTTTGCGCATGCGCAGTGCCAACTTTCTTATTTATGGAGGCATTCAAATGAAATTTCATACATATACACTTTAAATAAAAGCAAAACTAACATCAGGTTTAAAATTTGGTTTTGCACATGCTATAGCCATACCCAGGAGCTCGTTTGCTATATTTGTTTAATTTATTATGTTATCAACGACGTTGTTCTTTGTTGGCAAACAAAGTGGAGATGTGAGATGTGTCACGTTCTCCTTTACTTTACAGTCTCAATATTAATTAATCATGATAAAAACTGCAATATATATGTACAGGGTGGTTCAAATTGGCTAAGATGATAATGATGATTGAGAGTTGAATATCGAAATTGGGTGGCGATGGAAAGTGATGGTCTCGATTGTATAGCCGTCAAAGATACAATTAGGTTAGTGCCACTTTGAGGACTGTTGACATTACCGCATTTTGTCAATCATAATAATAATTGATTTGAAAGTTGTCGTCTTCATTCTGACTAGTTTGCAGCATTTTACCAGCGAGCATGACTGAAAGTTACGGTCGTTTGGAAACCCACAAGTGTCCTCCACATCGACATGCACGGATTAATTACAAGCGATTAGCGACTATATTAATTGTTAATTTAATGGACATTCTACCACATAGTTCTAGTTCGCATTTACGTAACGAGGTCAACGATCTAATTTGGGAAGGTATTAATAAAAAGGCGAAGACTTACTCTAATAGTTTCGAATCCCCATCGCTCGAGCTCGTCCTCTTCGCGCTATTCTTCAGCATATCGTCGATGGCGAAATTTCCGTTGGTCGGTGCGACGACGATCGCAATGTCCAGCTCGTCGTCGTCGCTATCCTTGATCCCGGCACCGTTCAACGGTATGTTGAGTTGAAACGGACCGGGCGTCGGCACTTCCTCTTGGGAATCCTCCTCCAAGTCGTCGTAACTGCTGAACTGCGCGTTCAACTTCTGGAGGAGAAAGTCGAGGTGGGCCTCCTGGTCGAGTTTAATGATTCGTATGCAACGTCCCATCGAGTCGGCTCGATATCCTTCAGCACAGGCGGGCAGGGACTCGGGGCTAAACGTGGGCGCAATGAAGACCGACTTGGGCGTTATTCTTCGCCTTGTGAAGTTATCGAGGTCGTGATGCTTGTTCTGATTTTGATCATCGACTAATAACCAGGCCTGCCAAGCTAACTCGGTCGATCGTTCGTTCAGCGGTCTCGATGGATGCGAAAATGTCGTGTAGAAACAGAAAATTAAAAGCAAAATCGCCGTGCGAAATATTTCCATTGTTAACAACATACTCATTTTAGATGTTTCTCTTTGTGGGGACTCGTAATTCGTGTCATTTTACTAATGTGCTTTTAAAAGCCGCGCACTTTCACTGATACGGTTAATTAGAACAAGTTTCGACACTTTTATTATTATTATTGATCGGTTTGCTCAAAGTTATCCGTGGACGTCTTCTTCGTAGGACTAATCCAATGCGACTGCCTCGCGAATTGTAAATCTGCAAAATATAAATACATTCATAAAAATAACAATTCAACTTTTCCCTTCGATTTTATAAACGTAAGTTTCCAGTTGGCAAAGTTCCAGGGTGCGCAATTTTGGTTTTAGTACAATTTTCGCCTACGCAATTACTATCTATCTATCGACGCGATCATAAATTTCCTCTTACCGTCTCTGTTTATCGGGATATGCTTCCAATAAAAACGTTTCAGCCAGTCCCAGACTGCTGGTAGTCTGTAAATATTAATCACTGTGTTTACGTTCGTGACTTCTCTCTCGCTCTCGGTTTAACCTTGTCTGCTTTTTACACAATGGGAGACAATCAACTCATGTAATCTGCGTATTTTCATATTTGACGCAAATTTCGTAATTGATTAACTGCACGTGCAGCCTATTATTAATTGCTTTTCGTAATCTTTTGAGTTTGACAAAACACTTCCTTTTCCCAAATCGGCCATAGTAGAGGACCCCATTGTGCTGCCTCGAGGAACTCCCATGAGTCTCAGTTTAGACGCTATCATTTACCCCAGGGTATCACTAGTGAATTTTACTCAAAAAATTGATGGCCGATTGTCTGTTCGGTCCAGCGCTTTTTATAAACCGATGAAGATCTTGATATGACAGCCGTTTTTAGTATTAAATTGGTATTGGTACTGTCCAGTTATTTTTGCATGACAGGCTTTTTGCAACTCAAAAGCATTTTAAGAATCCAAAGACCTTAAAAATAACAGTCTGTTAAAGATTCTTGAATACCCTTAAAGTCCTTTCAAGACTATAGTTCGTAAATACTTATGAATGCTCTTGGAGACGCTGGAATCTTAAATAGTTTTGAGAATCGTAATGACTCCCAAAAAATATTAAAGCTTCTGACTCCTAAAGGATATTAAAGCATATACAAACTCTTTTTATTAGAAACTAAAGGCGAGAAGGTTTAAGCAGACTTTGAGATTATTGGAGACCCTCAAAAGCTCTTAAGTGTTAAAAATTAACAAAGGCTCGAAAAAACTTTAAAGCATTTAAAGAGTGCTCTAAAACTATTTAAATTTAAATTAAAGACCAAATATTAAATATTCTAAAAACTTCTTGGAGGTGTGAATTCTGCAGAGAATAGGCACTAAATATAAGTCTTTATGTGAGTCAATTTTACGGCCCTTTAAAACCCATTAAACTAACCATTGACTTTTCATAAATTCAAAAATTTTTTACTAGCGCTTAATTTCTGTATAAAAAAATTCGTTGATAAAAAATCGGCGGCTCCATGAAGTTGACCAGGATAATGGTTTTTGTAAGAATTGTTTATTAGGGCCATTCATTTATTCTAACGGAGAAGTAAAGCGCATAATTAATGTTTAATTTCTGCATAAGAACAAATTTATTTATGGAAAAATCCACTGTTAAGTGAAGTTGGCCGGGGTAACGTTTTTAAAAGAACTTTCTTTCTATTAGGGCCCAAAATTTAACTCCAACGGAGCAAAAAGGCAAATGATTAGTGCTTAATCTCTGCATAACAAAACAAGTACAAATTGTGCACAACCCTTGTGCAGGTAAAGCGCATTTTTTTTAAACACCCATACGAAATTTCTTCCATAAATAAAAAAGTTGGCACTGCACATCCTACACAAAACCAAATTTGGAAAATGGAGCTACATTTGCTTTTATTCCAAGTGGCTATGTATCAAATTTCATTTGAATGCCTCCATAAATTTTATTTAAATGCCCAATGGTTATATTTCTTCCAAACCTCCCAATCGCCTTTTGTAGGTCCTTCCTTTGATAATTCACTCTTAAGATATAAGGAATTATAACCGATCAAGACAAGGGATCGAGGAGGAAGACTATGGTTAGTATAAATTAATTCCTTTCGTTGAAACCTTTCATTAGAGTACCATGAAGTACCACTCCCCCCCTTCCTCCTCCACCCCGTACTTTGATAAGAGGACAGAAAGAAGGGCAGTAGTTTGTAGAAAACTGTTCCTTTCGTTGAGACCTTTAATTAGAATACAATGAGAGATAAAATTTATTTTTGCATGCGTATGCAAAATCTGAGACCAATTGGTTGTCGTATGTAAAAGTTATGCACGTTTTACTTTCAAAAACAGCATGTCAGGAAATAATTCATGGGGGGGGGGGCCTTTTAGACAGCGAACTTTGATAGCCGTCTGGCACACCTTCAACGTGTAGGTTACCTACTGCAAAAAATTCCAGGACTCTAGGACCATTCCCCTACAAGTAGTTCAAAACGGTAGAAGTGGGTCCGGACGGACGGACAGACGGACAAAAATCAAACAATAGCACTTTTTTTAATTCTTAAAATTCTAAAAATTCGATTTTGAAATAACAACTTAATTTCTATAAGGGCGCAAAATTCATTTAAACGGCGCATAATCACCGTCTAATTATGCAGTCTTTCACACACTCAGGTCTGAAAAAAGAGGTAGAATCTTAAGAACGGCAAAAGCTTTTGGAAGACCCGTGGAGACCCATAAAATCTATTAAATGCTCATCAGGGCACACCTGAAGCCTATCAAAACCCTCGTAAAGACGTTGCAATATGTCGATGGCTCTGGCGACTCTTCAAGACTGTTAAGAGCACTTCAAAGCGCGAAGAAGCTTCTCGGTTTTTAAAAATTGAAGGGTTCTAAAAGCCTCTTGGAGACCTTTTGGAGGCTCTAAAAAATCAGTAATCATCTCCAAAGGTTTGGTCTAAAATATCTTTATTGACCCTTTTAGACTCTTAAAAACTTGCCGGAGACTCACAAAGCCTCATGTCTTAGGGAGAAAAGAGAATCTTTTGGACTCATCAAAGCGTATGATTATTAAAAAACGCTTAAAGACTCATAAAAGCTTAAAATGCTACTCAAAGGTTGCCTATTAAATATTTGAAACAATTTTAATAGCGTTGAATTGGAGGTTCACGGCGATTCTCAAACAGTTTCAAAAATTGTTAATGATTTTGAACGACTTTAAATGATGTTCTTATATGGACTCCTGGAGGTTTGTGAAAATATCTGAAGATTGACTCAAAGATTAAAAAAAGGCTTTTGGGTAGTACATACCCTGTTTCTAGATGCCTGTAGAGGCCAAAAACTCTTGGAGAAGAAGCATCTTCTGACACGTGGAAGCTGTTAATATTCCTTAAAAGCTCTTAAAATTAGTTTCTTAAAGATCTTCAAGACTCTTAAGTACTAATAATACATTTTAAGAGCTCATAAAGTCTCTTAAAGACTAAATACTCAAAAAAACTCCATAAGGTTGCATTGAAAATTGTTGAAATCTGTAGTAGAATCTTTAAACTTCTCCACGGTTTTTTAAAGATCACTCCTTGGCTTGAAAACTATCTTTTGCATACCCTTAAATGGTTTCAAGATCGACAAACGCTCTAACCTTTAAAGGTTTTTGGAAGACCTTGGAGCCCAATTCTAAAAACTCTTGAATAGCATTTGTGGCTGATAAATGTTTTTAAAGGCGTTTCAAGCTCTTAAGATTTCAACATTTTCCAAATTCGCACTTCAAAAAGGTGGCAAATTTTGCAGTTCTTAGAACTCAAAGTTTAAAATTTAAAATTAGGGAAATCAACACAAATTGATCTTGTATTATCATGTAAAAACACACTTAGTGTGAGTGAAGAATTTGAGGTGAGTCCCCATCGTACATTTTTTTTCAGTAGGCCATAAGACAGTAGGCTGTCTCTAGTTTCTTTGGATGCAGAAATTATGTCCCATTCCATCCATCTATTCCATACCATCAAATCGAAAAAACAAAAACAAATAAAATAGTAGGTATACAGGCGCTGAGCATAGTATTTGAGATTATTAATCTTCGTATGTGTGGTTCCATCGAGGAAATGAATAACAACACAGCTATTTGAGGCTTGGTTTATCAAAATTAGAACATATTGCAACACAACTAGGCACGATGCATTGCGGTTTGTTATATTGTCGGTCATTGGCCAACCGCAGCTTTACCAATGGCAAACTACCAACCAATTATTACGATATCATAGAAATAAAGGCGCATTAATTGGATCCTGAAAAGATTTACATCATCAAAGTTCATATTAAATCACACTTAAGCATAATTCACCCTTTTAAGAAAATTGCACTTTTTTGAGACTCAGCCTTTGAGTCGCTGGAATACGCCTTTAAGGTTCTTAATAAATCTTACACGATAATAATTTAGGAACCGATTCCATTAGCCTTTGGCGCATTGAACAATTCGAATGGCATTACCATAATCCTGATCCAAGCGTGAACAGGTTCTGTCGACGCGATCGTTTCCATAGAAATAGAATTGGTCTAATGGAACTACCCCATGTGGCAAGTAAAAGATTTCGTTTTCTGCGCCAATACAAAGATTTCAGGGAAAAAGATTTGTTTTTCTTGATGAAACGTGGATATTCCAAAATTGCACTATACAAAGCTCACGGCAAGATAGCAATGGAAGAAGTATGAAAACTATCAAAACTGATGGTAAGCAGTTGGTTTATTATTAATAGTGGTAAATAATAATTATAGCAAAAAATATGTTACAGACAAATAATTCTGCATGCTGGAAATGAGAAAGGATTCATACCTGATATTAAATTTGCACCAAAAACTTCAAGTGGTGATTATCACGGGGAAATGAACCAGGCGAATTTCTTACGTTGGTTTCAAAATCAATTGCTTCCAAATTTAAGTGAACTGTCTGTCATTATTCCATAATGCACCATATCACAATATGAAAGTTAACAAAGCACGTAATGCTTCATGGAAAAAGGTGACATTCAAAGGTGGCTAACTAATGAAGGAATTACATATTCTGAGCAGATGCTTAAAAGTGAACTTTTGTTGAAGGTGTCACAGTAAGTACACATACCTGTTTTATATACGAGTATATAACGAGTATATTTTCATTTCCAGAAATAAACCAGAAAAAACATATGTTGTTTACGAATTATCGGAGCAATATGGTCATAAAGTGTTGCGCCTTCCACCCTACCATTGTATTTTTAACCCT